TTCCCGGCATCTGTGATGGTCTGGGGCTGTATGTCCTCACAAGGAGTTGGACATCTCCTTTTCATTGATGGCACTGTCAATGCTATAAAGTACAAAAGTATTTTACAAGAAGAATTGTTGCCTTCCATTAATGAAATTCAACTGCCAGATGGAGAATTTATATTTCAACAAGATGGCGCAGCCTGCCATACAGCGAAATCCATAACATCATTGTTTCAGGTAATGAATATTCCTGTTTTAAACTGGCCTTCAAGCAGTCTTGACCTATCTCCTATTGAGACTCTTTGGTATCAGATGAAAAAAGCACTTCGAACTACGCCAGTTCGCACAATTCCTGAATTAAAGGTTAAAGTTCAGGAAATTTGGAATAACTTTCAACCAGATTACTGTCAAACATTAGTAGGCACTATGCCACAGAGAATTGAAGCCGTTATAAAACGTAAGGGTGACGTCACACAGTGGTAACGCTGACTAAATATTTGGTCCAATTAATTTGCGCCAGACATTAATTTTCCTTTTTTTTCATTTTATAATTATTGTAGTTGATAAAAGTCTTATATATTATTGATTAATTGTCAAAACCACATAGTATCAAATAAGCTTAATCGTATCCGTTGAATGTATAATAGTAAAATAAATTCTAATTCAGTCGTGAGGGATTTTTTTTGCGATCGCTGTTGTATTAATTTTTGTCGGGAACAGTTTCCCAAATGTAGTTATACTGTAAATAAATATAGTTTTTAGGGTACCTTTCGTAAATGGTCTCTTAAGTTATATAGTGGGGAATTCTTGAGGATGAATTTCTGAACCCACTTGACATTTATCGGAAAGGGATTTCGGCCATTTTGGACGGCTGACGTATTGTTGCTGTCAGTGGTGTTGAATCACAAGAAGGACGAATTTTGCGTCGAAGTAGAATTTTCTTAATATTTAGCCCCATCGGCTTACCCTAATTAAAGGGGATTTTAGATTCTACTTCATGGTTAATTGTGGGTAAATGGACATTTCGTATTTTGAGAGGAATTTTAGTGTATTGGTAAATTCCTATGGTCATTGGTCCAGCCCATATCTATTATAGGATTTTAACGCAAGAATTGGACGTTCACAGCATTTGGAGTGTGGAATATTGTTGTGCTGTGGATCTTCTCACGTGTTTCTCATCCTTGGAAGACTACCAAGTTAACCCTTTACGAAAAAGGTATGTTTTGTATATATTTGGTTATGTTACGCACCATGTGGCTGTCAATTTCTTTTATGTTATGACATGGTGTAACAGAATTTTAATTATTTGAGCTCATAATACTGTTTATGACTCACTGTTGAGCCAATGTAGTTTTTCTTCATCCTAGATGCTGAATAGTTTCTAATTTATGTACATTTTTTTGGTAATCCTATAGTTCGGGATACTTGAGTCAATGTGTATTGACATTTTTCTTTGTAATATTTTAAGGGTTTCACCCAGGGGCTTGTTAGCCCAAGATTCGTCGACAGTTTCACACAGGGGGTTGTTAGCCCAGGATTAGACGACAGTTTCACCCAGGGGGTTGTTGACCCAGGATTTCAACAGTTGTACACAGAGGGTTATATCGTCCGGAGTTCAACGGTTTCATCGAGGGAACACAGAACATGGGTATGCTAGCCGCCTAGCTTACTTGTAGCTAGATTTACAAGGATGTTTCTCGTTCTGGATAGGAAGATGGGAATGCTGTGAAAGAAGACACCCTACTATCAGGTTTTTCTTATACGTTATATTGAAGGTTTCATGCGTGCTTTGTTAAACTATACATTCACTTTCAACCGAATGTTGTCAAGGTATTCTCAACATTATTTATACTTTTGAGCACAGAATGTTCTAAGGTTCTTTCACTCATTACTTAAGTATTATCAAATGTTACATCGTTTAATTGATTAATATTTTAAAGTTTTACTTAATTTAAGCACTTAATGCTGATGTAGTAATCCTTCGGGTCGCAGAACACTTGGACTGCTTCCACGTTTAAGTTGTAATTCTTCAGTTATTAAGGGCTACTGCCATAATTTTACTTTTTTTAATTTATTCATTATTAAATGGTCCAGACTTAACGATTAAGTTAAGCAATCTCAGAAGACCCGTGTGGGGGCAGAGATTAAGTAACCTCTTCCAATCTGGGAGTTTAAGTAAATAACCTCTGTGTCTGAAGTCCTTTGTGTATCTTTGTATTTTTATTTTTTTTGATATTTTTATTTAGTTTTATGAATTATACTTAATTATAAAATTTCATGGTTTAATAATTTTCTTTTGGGTAGTTTGGTCTTAACTAAAAGTTAAGCAGATATCGCCTTCCAATTTGGAGAGGGTTATAAGCTTATAAGGATTATAAGTGTATTGTTTAGTTTATAATATACGATGTAGTATAGGTGCGGTTATGCACAATATTTAAGATAACTATTATTTTATTTTTTTTATGTAAGGTGGAAATTAATATTTTGCGCATGCGTCATGCCTGGTACCAAGCTAACGACGAACCGTGCCATATTTTGATTTAATAATTTAAAAAAAAAAACTAAAAAAAAAAAAAATTATTAAAGTATTAACTACAATTAAAATATTGTCTACTACGGTTACACAAGTTTCGGTTGTTCCGGTGTCAACCTTCGGGCCTTCGACGTCGCTCAGACGGCAGCTAGGGGGTGGATAGCTTACAAAAATTCCGGAAATAGTAGACAAATAAATAGGCGCCAACTGGGTCTATATAGTGGCCAAACTATGATCCTATTTCCCCAAAAACCCAGTAAATGAGGAAAGAAATAAAAGACAAACCTCAACTTATGTTCCTTTATAAAGAAAAAAATATTTATACATATACAGTGTAAATTTTCCTTTTAATTTCCTCCAATTTTTTTTTTTTTGATCACCTAAGCCATTAGGTAATTAGACTGTATACTTAGTAAATATTTTTTTCTTTATAAAGGAACATAAGTTGAGGTTTGTCTTTTATTTCTTTCCTCATTTACTGGGTTTTTGGGGAAATAGGATCATAGTTTGGCCACTATATAGACCCAGTTGGCGCCTATTTATTTGTCTACTATTTCCGGAATTTTTGTAAGCTATCCACCCCCTAGCTGCCGTCTGAGCGACGTCGAAGGCCCGAAGGTTGACACCGGAACAACCGAAACTTGTGTAACCGTAGTAGACAACATTTTAATTGTAGTTAATACTTTAATAATTTTTTTTTTTTTAGTTTAAAAATTTTGGTGGAATCACCAAGTTCATTTCGTAGGTTACATTTTTTTTTTTTTCGTTAAACAATATACTATTCTTTTTAATCTAGATCCTAAAACTTCTGATTAATCTTTTGGGAGCCCGATTTCTTTAACTAAATCGTTCAGTTCAGATTAGGTGAACAACTACACTTGTGCCAGGGTCGTAGCAATCACTGTTATTACTATCACTTTTAGGCTCTCTTTAAACCATAGACATTTAAAAACGAACATACTAGACTTGCTAAGTGTAACTGAATTTTTTCAATAATTTACCCATGGTTAGCACCAAATATACTATAAAAATCACCGATTACATTTGAGACAATTTTTTTCGCAGACCTATTTTATCGATATCCAAGTGTACCACAAAATTATGTTTAGAAATAGAATATAATGAGTGTGATAATGTTTTTCCTTGTATCATTGCGATAATACAACACTGTGGTGTTGTCTCACTTATTAATAACAAAATGAAGTCAACTCGATTGCTCAAAAGCAACGTCACGTGTCATACGAATTATATTCCCTATAAAATATGGTACATATGCGTTTTGCAAAACTGGGGTTTTTATACATTCTTCTTCGTAAAGAAAATATATCTAATTCGAATTTCCTTCCTTTCCGGTAAAAGCGACCTTCGAAAGAATTACCCAATACATCCATCACAGCCATTGTTCGAGTCCTCGTTTGTTATTGAAAATGTAGAAAATCTCCTGTGGAAACTCAACGTCAAATCCCTCAAGTCATCTCAGCAAACACACACACACCGTCGTAAATCGCGTATACCGTCTCGATAATATTTTTCTTTCGCCGACATATTTTATGCTTGTAAGAAAGCTAAACATTAGAATATATCCGACATCTGGACTTAGGTATTCAACAAGAATATAGTTACAGGATGGAAACTGAATTAAAGAACCCTGTAGTATGTTTTAAGCATAGTTCTACGAATTTTATTAAAGTTTCACTTTAAAAGATCACTCATATTTAGTATGAATAATAGATTTTAGTGCAGCGGTTACCACTGCATTTTCGCCAGTAACCCAAATCCTATCCCATTATTTATTTTACTTATTTTATTTATTCCCATTTATAAAATTGTTTATTGGTTGAATAGTGTATGTGTTGTACGGTATTGGCAGATACATTTGACTGTCAGGATAGTACTTTAAATTTATAGTTTAGTTAGTTTCATGTTTCGAAATTATTTACCAAAAGATCTACATAGATCTATAGACCTTGTTTTTGAACTAAACCTACCCTACTTCTGGCTTTACGATCTAAAAATAAGCGTTTGGCAACAATGTAAAAAAATAGTGGTTAGAGGATGTAAATGTGGCATGTAGCAATATGATTGAGTAGTTTTGCAACTAATAAACCAAAACCACTGTAAATAAGTAAAATACATAGTTAACATGTGCAATTACTTGTTGTTTTGGTTAAGATTTAATCTGTACACATCAGGACGAAAATTAGATTTATTAAGGATATTTTTTAGTATCCTTAATACGAGAGGTAAGTAGATAATAATACCCAATATATTTTTTCAACAATCGTATTTTTTTAATTAGAAATAAATATCAAGATGGCCATTAGTTATGACTAAAATTTAAGAATTCGTAAGGTATGGCCACACGGGTGGCCAAAAGTAAAATCTCATGTTTACCACAGCAGTTATGATGTAGGTTGAGGGGTAGCTGGAGAGGTAGGTGGTAATGAAATGATTGTGTTTTTTATCTAACAAACTTGATGTTAATATGCTGGAGCAGTTTGCAGTAACAAAAAGAATAGGTCATGATTGGGAAGGTGTTGAAACAGCATTTGAGTTGTATAAAGTCTGGCTATCAAATACAAATGACATTCCTCATACCCAACACCCTCCTAAGGAAGATGACGATACAAATATGCAGGAAGAGTATGTGGCGGAATTACATCATGACTCTGAAATTGTTCCTGGACCTTTCTTGAACCCAAATTCTTCTCCAAGATATCCTGTACATTCTATAGCTAAAGATGCTCAATCACCCAACCCACGACAACAACAATAACACCAATAACAACAAATTGATAACTGATATTATGTTAGAAACTAGTGGCTTTAAGTAAAGAACTAGTGGCAGACTGCTGGCCAAAAGTAAATTTTTTTCAATTTTATAAAAAAATGCAAAAAAGAAACAATACTGATATTATGTTAGAAACTAGTGGCTTTAAGTAAAGAACTAGTGGCAGACTGCTGGCCAAAAGTAAATTTTTTTCAATTTTATAAAAAAATGCAAAAAAGAAACAATAGATGCATATTATTATATTCTTAAAAATTACTTACTTCAACCAATAAAATAGTTTTTTTTATTTTTTTTTGCTGTTACAGTATAATTGATAAACAGGTCCCACAAAAGTATTTTTGTCTTAAGGTGGGCCATAAGTAGTACCACAGCCCTACATAAATTCTTTGGATATCACCAGATAATTATGGTATCGCCAAATAATTATATCACTAAATAATTAGGATATCATCAAATAATTATGATATCACCAAATAATTATTTCAAAATTACCTCTACAAAATATTAAAAACTATTTTTAAACCCCCAAAGTGAAAGCACATTCATTGAAAAATTAAAAAGTGTCTCGCGGACGGATTAGAAGCACACTGCCTTACTCTGGAGTCTTAATTGTTAATTTTTAAAGGTAAAACGTTTCTTGTAGTTTATTTACCTGGAAGGTAAATAAATTACTTTTACCTGACTCGCTATTACTAAGCAATTATCTGTATTAAATTGGATATATCACATCTTATATTCTTTTTCTAATTTTGACATATAAAGTGACATCTTTTATAATCGCATAAAGTAGAACATTATGCAACTGATTACGAAAAGTTGATTATCACCAGTTACGAAATGAAAATTAAAAAAAAATGCCTTTTTTGGTTTTTAAATCAAAATTTACATTGCTTTTGAAAGGTTATATCGAAGAAAGTTCGGCAATATATTAAAATGGATTTTGTCAGGAAACATTACATACATTTTTATTTACCAGACAAAACGCAACATCCTGAATATCCAAAAATATTTTTAAAATACGTATTCTTTAAATCCATATAACTTTTATTTGAAACTTTGCCTCTCAATAACAAAAAGTCGTTGAGAATAAATTAATATATTTTTATCAATAAGAAGAATGAAGTTAGACATATGGAACGAGATATGCAACTAATAATACAAGGAAGTAGTATTGGTTGCCTATAGGTCAGTAATTTTTTACCAAAACACAAATTAGGAAAAATATTGTATGTAACACATTACGAAATGCCGTTTTATGTACCTCGTTCATGTTGCGGACCTTGCTTTGCTCGTCCTGCAAATATTCAATCTTTACAAAAAATAAGGCATTTTTTAGCTGGTGTCATAATAATAATAAAAATATTTATTAATGTCAGGAACAATATTATACAGAAAAAAATACATATATAATTGTATGGTATAAATCAGAAGCCAGGATAATCTGTACTAGTTTGATGACCTACAAAGGCTTTTTTCGGTTATTTTGTATAACCTATTGTATCACCCCTGTAAATGTTTAGAGGATGAACTAAATACAAACATTGTCCACACATATCTTGCTCGAAACATTTTTTTATACATATTTATTGCCAACGAAAATACTGAAAAATATAAAGTTTACACTTTTCCTCAAATTTTTCCATTACGGTCCATTTTAGAGAAATCATGTATGGATTAAAAATTATAGAGAATTATATTGCAAACAACTTTTATTTGAAGAAATGTCTTCTTCAATCGTAAACAACTGATATTCCTTAATGTAAAAAATGCTTAAGTTTAAAATTTGATGTTTTCTCGTTATCCGTTTTTGAGTTCTCTTCAAAATTCTAAATATCCACTTTTCCTGGAATATCCTGACTACGGCACATTTTAATAAAATTTTGTATAGAATAAAAATTATAGAGAATGACGTGACAAGTAACTTTTATCAAAATATATAATATGTTCCCCCAGATGTTGCCACTATGCCCAAAATCGAGTCAACTCACCGCAAAAATGGATTAAAGCCTATTTTTAAAAATTGGTATTTTTCTGTTTATCTGTTCTGATTTATAGAGTATACAGACACACAGACATCATCACGAAAATAGTCAAAACGGATTCAATGCATCCCAAAACATAAAAATCCGTCGAAAACTCGAGGTCAAAAAAGTAAAATTGTGATTGTTTTTAAAATTATTCTATTATTATTGATATTGGCGTCGGCATCTGCTCTGATTTATTCCAAAAATGTCTACTAAATTTTAGCTTTTACCGTTGTCAAATTAATTTGGAATTAAAATTAAATGCTATTAAACTCTCGCCTTAAATCGATCTATCATTGCAAGTTTCGCTCTCTTTGAAACCTTCGTCTATCTGTGCCCTCTGCTTTGACCGTTCTTCGGACTCAGGTGCATAGTGGTGGGATCCGAATGAATCCAATGGTTCAATAATTCTGTTTACATAGCTTTAGGCACTCATTTGAAATATGTCCTCTTTTTGTGGTGTATAGATTTTTCATGTCTACGAGTTATAAAGAAGCACACATTTCTAGACCTTCTCCCATGTATTTTATATCCACTTTGTAGGAGAAATTATAAAACTGGGTAGTAGATACGCAATTATTCGAATGTTCATTTAGAAGCAGTTATTCGAAAGTTAGTTCGAAATTAATCATTAAAAAATGTCAATTATTCGAATAGAAATTTTTAAAACTACTAAATTTAATTATCTTAAAGTAATGAAAAGAAAATAAAATCTAACTTTGTGCTGTTTTTCTTTGGATAAGTGGAACGGTCGCTCATTTTATTTTGTGACACATGGCTCAGATTATTTCTTGTTTTCATTTATTTTACTATAACTTTGATTTTGTTAAGGAGAACGTCATGTTTGGACCGGTTTCAACCTTCATCAGCTTTATCATTATCGTTATTATTGATTTTAAATATTGTCTTACTTCTAGTTCCTACGCGCTAAAATTTGTATTGAACAATTTGCAGTAAATAGTAGGCTAACTTTATTAATCAATCATAATTCATAATTATTATGGATCAATGAATTTCATTTATAAAGGATTTGGAAAAAAATAACTATTTTCAAATGTTTTTTATTGATAACACCAAAACTCGCCAATAGCTGTTAAATAAAAATTTCAAAACGAAAATCGGTTCACAAACAGAAGAGAAAATGGTACTGAACTATTTCGTTTTTGCCTATTTATATGTAGATAAAACTCAATGATTGGTTAGGATCGCGAGCTTTTATTGGATTAAATCACAAAATTTTATTATTTTGACACGAAAAAATAGATACCGCTATTCCTTTTAATTTGTATCGATAAAATGTTTAAATTTCAACAATTCCTTTATTTGCAAAGACCACAGACTCTTGGTTTTATTTTAATTCAGTTTATTTGTCTGTTTTTTTCAACAATAAAGGGCCAATTCAAAGATTCGTGTTATTTATCTTCGATTAAAAATTTACAAATGCTTTTATAACCCATTTGAAAGAAGGAGGAGGTTCTCAATTCGTCGGAATATTTTTCTTTACCTTGACGATTTATAAAATAAAATTACAAATTAATACCTCCTGTAGAACTGCGATGCTTGCTACTCATTCGAAAAGAGATGCGCACTCAAAGCACCGGAATAAATATGTCCTAGAGAAATAAATGGACGTACTTAAGTTTTGCTTAATATTTTACGGTCTGTAGGTATATCTGAACCACGTTTAACGATGAACGTAATCTTTCAAAGAAAACGGTTTATCTAAATGTTCAACGAAGAATATTTCTTGATATAATTTTTATATTATTATTATTATTATTATTATTATTAAAGAAGAGAAAACTCAAAGTCTTAACCTCAATATAAGTTTTATTAAGGAGCGACTAATTTCGGTCAATGACCATTATCAGGCCTGTAAGAAAAATACAAAATGTGATAAGGAAGAATCAATTTGAAGATGACCAACATTTTTCAGGCAACACAATTATGTTAGAATAAATGAACTCTTCAATAGTAAAATTAATATAAGAGTCTGCACTAAAGTAAAATTAGTAAATAAATTATGAAATTATTAGGTGAACTTATGCAAATATTTTTTAATTATAAAAGTATGCAATAAAAGTTGTACAATGGCAAACGTTTTAATAAAATTATTAACTAATATGAAATATACGATAAAAATTAGAATAGGTAAACTAATGAGAATTAATGAAACATATAGTAAATTAAAAACATTAAAAACAAAAAAGGTACTTACATGAGTTGATAAAAAAATTAAAATAAAATTCAATACTTATATAAATGAAGAAGGCTGTGCAGTTAGGATGATATCCTTTGGTTCTTGTAGTCGTAGTTAGAGATATGGATAACCTTTTTCTTACTTTTATTATTATTGTTGTCGTTGTCACTATACGATTGTACATTTTTTTATTTAGTACCAAATACAGTAATCTATTGATAATTCGAAATTTATTGGAAATATAAGTGTAAAATTTCGACTTTGTAAAGTTCAAAGAATATATCAGCTTAATTTCTAGTCATACTGCTGGATACCAGTAATATGTGTTACCTTTTATGCAAGTTTTCGTTATTCCAATATGTACACATGCACACGTTAATTTACAATTTCCGTTTTAGAGTTGTCTAATTGAATATTTATTACTTTTATGATTCAATAGGAATTTTTCTTTTCTTTTCTCAAAATGTCTGCCATTTTTGTTCTTTGACTTTGTTTTTTAATATTTTTATAAATACTATTAGGATGTAATTTATTTGTTGCCATCAAATTTATGGATGGCAATTTTGTTCTATTTATTAGTTGTCGCCAAGCAGCGTGGGGCTCTAAAAAACAGTGGCGCATAGATAAA